ACCCTCTTTACACCCCCACCCCCCTTCCCCTCCCCTCCCTGCCCCACGTGACCCATCAACTCCGCCACTAATTAAGCCATTAATTAATCCATTAATTCATTAATTAACTCATTAATTACACCCGAACCGCGCGGCACCGGGGGGGGGGGGGGGGGCAGCGGTGGCAGAGCGGGGAAAGGGGGCGGGGCTTAAGGGGAAGAGGGGGGGCGGGGCTTGAGGGAAGGGGCGGGGTCACCCGAGGGGGCGTGGCCTTTGGGAGGGGGTCCTTTATGGAGGCGGGGCCTTGGGGGGGGGAAGGGGGTTAGAACGTGGGGGGGGGAGGGGGGGTGTCATTGAAGCCCCGCCCCCTCCCCCTCCACCCGTTTAAGCCCCGCCCCCTCCGGTCACAGTGTATCCGGGTGCGCCCCTCCCCCCCTCAGGCCACGCCCCCTGTCCCGTCCCTCCCCCCCCGGTTGGGGGGGGGCGGAGTTTAGGGGGGGGCGGGGCGCTGGAAGACATTCGTGATTGGTCGTTGCCTCGGGGGGGGGGGGGCGGGGTGAGGGGGCGGGGCGAGGCGCCACGACACGAGCCCTTAGAGATGGGGGGGGGAGGGGGGGAAGGGGAGGGAGGGGGGAGCATGCGGGGGGGGCGGGGCACGCGATCACGTGACTGGGTGTGCACCGGGACACGTGTGTGCAAAGGGACATGTGAGGTCATGTGTGTGCACGGGGACATGTATGTAAAAGGACACGTGTGTGCAAAGGGACATGTGAGGTCTTGTGTGTGCACAGGGACATGTATGTAAAGGGACACGTGTGTGCATGGGGACATGTGAGGTCATGTGTGTGCATGGGGACATGTATGTAAAGGGTCACGTGTGTGCATGGGGACATGTATGTAAAGGGACACGTGTGTGCATGGGGACATGTGAGGTCATGTGTGTGCACGGGGACATCTGAGGTCATGTGGGTGCATGGGGATGTGTGAGGTCACGTGTGTGCATGGGGACATGTATGTAAAGGGACACGTGTGTACACAGGGACATGTGAGGTCATGTGTGTGCATGGGGACATGTGAGGTCATGTGTGTGCGTGGGGATGTGTGAGGTCATGTGTGTGCATGGGGACGTGTGAGGTCACGTGTGTGCATGGGGACATGTATGTAAAGGGACACGTGTGTACAGGGGACATGTATGTAAAGGGTCACGTGTGTGCACAGGGACATGTATGTAAAGGGTCATGTGTGTACAGGGGATATGTATGTAAAGGGTCACGTGTGTGCACGGGGACATGTATGTAAAGGGACATGTGTGTACAGGGGATATGTATGTAAAAGGTCACGTGTGTGCATGGGGACATGTATGTAAAGGGACACGTGTGTGCATGGGGACATGTGAGGTCATGTGTGTGCATGGGGACATGTATGTAAAGGGTCACGTGTGTACAGGGGATATGTATGTAAAGGGTCACGTGTGTGCACAGGGACATGAATGTAAAGGGACACGTGTGTACACGTATGTGCACAACGGAACATGTGGGGTTACACGTGTGTGTAAAGGAATATGCATGTGCACAAAGGGACATGTGAATGCACGTATGTTAAGGGCACAAGTGTGTGTGTAAAGGGACACGTGTGTGCACACGTATGTGTATAGGGATGCGTGTGTGCACGTGTGTGTAAAGGGACACGTGTGCCCATGTATGTGCAAGGGGCATGGATGTATGCAAGGAGAACGCGTGTGCATGCGTGTGCACAGGGACACGTGTGCACACGCGTGTGCAAGGCCACTTCCATGTATGTGCATGTCACACCCCCCCCCCGTGCTGGCGTGTGCAAGGGCACAAGCGTGTGTGACACACGTGTGTGCATGGGGACATGTGTGTGCATGGGGACATGTGTATGCATGTGTGTGTGCATGGGGACGTGTGTGCACACGTGTGTGCATGTGGACATGTGTGTGCATGGGGACGTGTGTGCATGTGTGTGCATGTGGACATGTGTGTGCATGTGTGTGTGCATGGGGACATGTGTGTGCAAGTGTATGTGCATGGGGACGTGTGTGCACACATGTGTGCATGTGGACATGTGTGTGCATGGGTACGTGTGTGCATGTGTGTGTGCATGGGGACATGTGTGTGCATGTGTGTGCATGGGGGCATGTGTGCACACGTGTGTGCATGGGGACGTGTGTGCACACGTGTGTGCATGGGGACGTGTGTGCATGTGTGTGCATGGGGATGTGTGTGCACACGTGTGCGCATGGGGACGTGTGTGCATGTGTGTGTGCATGTGGACATGTGTGTGTATGGGGACGTGTGTGCATGTGTGTGTGCATGTGTGTGCATGGGGACATGTGTGTGCATGTGTGTGTGCATGAGGACGTGTATGCATGTGTGTGTGCATGGGGACGTGTGTGCACACGTGTGTGCATGTGGACATGTGTGTGCATGGGGACATGTGTGCATGTGTGTGCTTGTGTGTGTGTGCATGTGTGTGCATGTGTGTGCATGGGGACGTGTGTGCATGTGTGTGTGCATGTGGACATGTGTGTGCATGTGTGTGCATGGGGGCATGTGTGCACACGTGTGTTCATGGGGACATGTGTGTGCATGTGTGTGTGCATGGGGACATGTGTGTGCAAGTGTGTGTGCATGGGGACGTGTGTGCATGTGTGTGTGCATGGGGACATGTGTGTGCATGTGCGTGTGCATGTGGACATGTGTGTGCATGGGGACGTGTGTGCATGTGGACATGCATGTGCATGTGTGTGTGCATGTGGACATGTGTGTGCATGGGGACGTGTGTGCATGTGTGTGTGCATGGGGACATGTGTGTGCATGTGCGTGTGCATGGGGACATGTGTGTGCATAGGGACATGTGTGCACACGTGTGTGCATGTGTGTGTGGAGGGGGGCATTTGTGTGTGTGTGAGGGCACATCCATGTCCCATTGCACATCCATGTCCTGGTCCATGTCCCATTGCACATCCATGTCCTGGTCCATGTCCCATTGCACATCCATGTCGTGTCACATGTCCATGTCCCGTTGCACATCCATGTCCCATCGCATGTCTACATGTCATTGCACGTCAACAGCTCATTGCACATCCATGTCCCGTTGCACATCCATGTCCCATCGCATGTCTACATGTCATTGCATGTCCGTGTCCCATTGCACATCCATGTCCTGGTCCATGTCCCATTGCACATCCATGTCGTGTCACATGTCCATGTCCCGTTGAACATCCACGTCCCATCGCATGTCTACATGTCATTGCACGTCAGCAGCTCATTGCGCATCCACGTCCTGTTGCACATCCATGACCCATTGCATGTCCGTGTTCCATTGCATGTCCGTGTCCCATTGCACATCCATGTCTTCTTGCACATCCATGTCCTGCTGCACATCCATGTCCTATTCCATGTCCATATCTCGTTGCACATCCATGTCCTATTCCATGTCTGTATCTCATTGCACGTCCCTGTCCCATTGCATGTCCATATCTCATTGCACATCCATGTCCTAGTCCATGTCCATGTCTCATTGCACATCCATGTCCTATTGCATGTCCATATCTCATTGCGTGTCCATGTCTCATTGCACATCCATGTCCTATTCCATGTCCATATCTCATTGCATATCCATGTCCTATTCCATGTCCATGTCTCATTGCACATCCCTGTCCCATTCCATGTCCATATCTCATTGCACATCCCTGTCCTATTCCATGTCCATATCTCGTTGCACATCCATGTCCGAGTCCATGTCCATGTCTCATTGCACATCCATGTCCTATTCCATGTCCATATCTCATTGCACATCCCTGTCCTATTGCGTGTCCATGTCTCATTGCACATCATGTCCCATTGCATGTCCATATCTCATTGCATGTCCATGTCCATATCTCATTGCACGTCCATGTCCATATCTCATTGCACGTCCATGTCCATATCTCATTGCACGTCCATGTCCATATCTCATTGCATGTCCATGTCCATATCTCATTGCGTGTCCATGTCCATATCTCGTTGCACGTCCATGTCCATGTCTCGTTGCACGTCCATGTCCATATCTCATTGCGTGTCCATGTCCATATCTCATTGCGTGTCCATGTCCATATCTCATTGCGTGTCCATGTCCATGTCTCATTGCACGTCCATGTCCATATCTCATTGCACATCCATGTCCATATCTCATTGCACGTCCATGTCCATATCTCATTGCACATCCATGTCCATGTCTCATTGCACGTCCATGTCCATGTCTCATTGCACGTCCATGTCCATGTCTCGTTGCACGTCCATGTCCATATCTCATTGCACATCCATGTCCATATCTCATTGCATGTCCATGTCTCGTTGCACGTCCATGTCCATATCTCATTGCATGTCCATGTCCATGTCTCATTGCACGTCCATGTCCATATCTCATTGCACGTCCATGTCCATATCTCATTGCACGTCCATGTCCATATCTCGTTGCACGTCCATGTCCATATCTCATTGCGTGTCCATGTCCATATCTCGTTGCACGTCCATGTCCATATCTCATTGCACATCCATGTCCATATCTCGTTGCACATCCATGTCCATATCTCGTTGCACATCCATGTCCATATCTCATTGCACATCCATGTCCATATCTCGTTGCACGTCTATGTCCATATCTCATTGCACATCCATGTCCATATCTCATTGCACGTCCATGTCCATATCTCATTGCACGTCCATGTCCATGTCTCATTGCACGTCCATGTCCATGTCTCATTGCACATCCATGTCCATATCTCATTGCGTGTCCATGTCCATATCTCATTGCGTGACCATGTCCATATCTCATTGCACATCCATGTCCATATCTCATTGCACATCCATGTCCATATCTCATTGCACGTCCACGTCCATATCTCATCGCGCGTCCCTGTCCCATTCCTTGTCCACTTCCATGCCGCACGTCCACCTTCCCTCTTCCTCCTCCTCTTCCTCCTCGTCGCCGTGGTCCTTCTCCCGCCGCTCCCCGCTCCGCTCTGCCCTCACCTCTCCAGGAAGACCTTGAGGGCCCGGTCGATGTTCATGCGGTGCCCGACGCGCGTCACCCCCAGGTCGATGTAATCCTCCTTGGTCAACGAGGGCAGATGGGAGCCGTCGATCTCGTTGTGCAAGAACCGCGCTCGATGCTCGCCCAGGTTCAGGTATTCCAACCAATCGGCCACGTCGAACTTGCTCCAGAAAGCCAATGGCTTCGCTCCAAAGGGTTTATCGGGGGGGGGAGGCGGAGGCCTCGTTGGGGACAAGGACCTAGCGCTGGCCCCGTCCCCGAAGGGCCCCCCCCGCAGCTCCAGGAAGCCGGCGTAGAGCGGAGCCGCCGGTAACGTGGGCAGCGAGGCCGGGCGCGGAGCGGGGCTGCCCCGGCGCTCGCTGGGCAACGTGGCCGGGCTCGGGGCGCGGCGAAGGGGGGGGCGGATGTCCAGGTCTACCCCGACCCCGCTTAAAGGGGATTTAGGGGCCGGGGGCCAGTTGGGGAAGAGGATGGAGGAAGGGGAGATGGAGGAGGAAGGGGGGGGCTTGGAGGGTTGCGAGGGAGGGGGGGGGTCCGGGAGCCTGTGGGGAGGGAAGGAGGAGGGGGGGTTAGAAAAGAAGGGGATCGTTGTGGACAATGGGGACGATGAGGTCAATGGGGACAATGGGCACAATAGGGTTGATGGGGACAACAGGGATGATGGGGACGATGAGGTCAATGGGCACTATAGGGTTGATGGGGACAACAGGGATGATGGGGACAATGGGCACAATGGGGATGATGGGGACAATGGGGTCAATGGGCACAATGGGGATGATGGGGACAATAGGGTCAATGGGGACAATGGGGTCAATGGGCACAATAGGGTTGATGGGGACAACAGGGATGATGGGGACAATGGGGTCAATGGGCACAATGGGGATGATGGGGACAATGGGGATAATGGGGTCAATGAGGATGATGGGCATAATGGGGTCGATGGGCACAATGGCGTCGATGGGCACAATGGGGATGATGGGCACAATGGCGTCGATGGGCACAATGGGGATCATGGGGACAATGGGGTCAATGGGCACAATGGAGAAGATGGGGACAATGGGGTCAATGGGCACAATGGGGATGAAGGGCACAATAGGGTCAATGGGGACAACAGGGATGATGGGGACAATGGGGTCCATGGGCACAATGGGGATGAAGGGCACAATAGGGTCGATGGGGACAACGGGGATGATGGGGATGATGGGGTCGATGGGCACAATGAGGTCAATGGGCACAATGGGGATGATGGGGACAATGGGGTCAGCGGGCAAAATGGGGTCAATGCACACAATGGGGTCAATGGGGATGATGGGAACAGTGGGGTCAATGGGCACAGTGGGGATGATGCACATGATAGATGTGATGGGTTGATGGGCATGGTGGGATCATGGATGCGATGGGGATGATGGAGATGATGGGGAGATGGAGACGATGGGGTGATGGAGATGGGGTGATGGAGATGGTGGGACCAATGGGCACAATGGGATGGGGAGACAGACATGATGGGGCAGTGGGGTGATGGACATGATGAGTTGATGGACATGATGGGGTCAATGGACACAAATGGGGGTGATGGGGGGCAACGGACATGATGGGGGTGATGGACACGGCGGGTCGATGGACGTGGTGGGTCAATGGGCACAATGGGGGTGATGGACACTGGGTGCAATGGAGGTGCTTGAGAAGGGTGTGATGGGTGCAACACCAAAACACAACTGTACCCCCCCCCCCCCAATGGGTGCCATGTCCTGCAGATCCATGCAGCGGCTGCAATGGGTGCCATGGGTGCAATGGGTGTCACGGTTGCATTGTCCTGCTGCCTCTACAGTGGCTGCAATGGGTGCCATGTGCAATGGGTGCAGTGCCATGATCTGTGATGGGTGCTGGGTGCTACGTTTCTTATACCCATGCAACGGCTGCAATGGGTGCCATGGGTGCTGTACCGGCGTCAATGCATGCAACGGCTGCAATGGGTGCCATGGGTGCTGTACCGGCGTCAATGCATGCAACGGCTGCAATGGGTGCCATGTGTGCCATGGGTGCTACGAGTGCAATGGGCGCCATGTGTACAATGGGTGCTATGTCCCCCTTATGGCTATAGATGCCATGGGTGCCATGAGCGTCATGGGTGCAATGGGTGCTGCGTGCCATGGGTGCAACATCCCCCCTGTCCATGCAATGGCCTCAATATGTACAGTGGGTGCCATGAGTGCAAAGGGTGCCATGGCTGCAATGGTTGCTATGAATGCAATGGATGCCATGAGTTTAATGGATGCCATGGGTGCTATGTCTGCCATGGGTGCAATGGGTGCTATGGCTTCAATGGGTGCCATTGGTGCAATGGCTACCATGGGTGCTATGGGTTCAATGGGTGCAATGGATGCAATGGCTGCTATGGATGCCATGGCTGCAATGGGTGCAATGGGTGCTATGTGTTTAATGGCTGCTATGGCTGCAATGGGTGCCATGGGTGCTATAGGTGCAATGGGTGCTATGTCTGCTATGGGTGCTATGGGTGCAATGGTTGCCATGGATGCCATGGCTGCAATGGGTGCAATGTCTGCTATGGGTTCAATGGGTGCCATGGGTGCTATGTCTGCTATGGGTGCAATGGCTGCCATGGATGCCATGGCTGCAATGGGTTCAATGACTGCTATGGCCACAATGGGTGCCATGGGTGCTATAGACGCAATGGGTGCCATGGGTTCAATGGGTGCAATGGCTTCAGTGGCTGCCATGGGTTCAATGGCTGCCATGGGTTCAATGGGTGCTATGGACGCAGTGGATGCCATGGGTGCTTTGGCTTCAATGGGTGCCATTGCTGCAATGGGTTCAATGACTGCTATGGGTGCTATGGCTGCAATGGGTGCCATGGATGCCATGGGTTCAATGGGTGCAATGGGTTCAATGGGTGCTATGGACGCAATGGGTGCCATGGATGCAATGGGTGCCATGTGTGCTATGGATGCAATGGGTTCAATGGATGCCATGGGTTCAATGGGTGCTATGGACGCAATGGGTTCAATGGGTGCCATAGACGCAATAGATGCCATGGGTGCTTTGGCTTCAATGGGTGCCATGGGTGCCATGGATGCAATGGGTGCCATGGGTGCCATGGGTGCCATGGGTTCAATGGGCTCAATGGGTGCTATGGATGCAATGGGTGCCATGGGTTCAATGGGTGCTATGGATGCAATGGGTGCCATGGACGCAATGGGTGCAATGGGTTCAATGGCTGCTATGGGTGCTATGGACGCAATGGGTGCCATGGACGCTATGGACACAATGGATGCCATGGGTGCTTTGGCTTCAATGGGTGCCATGGACGCAATGGGTTCAATGGCTGCTATGGGTGCAATGGGTGCCATGGACGCAATGGGTGCCATGGACGCAATGGGTGCCATGGGTGCTATGGACGCAATGGCTTCAATGGGTGCCATGGGTGCTATGGACGCAATGGCTTCAATGGGTGCCATGGGTTCAATGGGTGCCATGGATGCAATGGGTGCCATGGGTGCTATGGACGCAATGGATGCCACGGGTGCTTTGGCTTCAATGGGTGCCATGGACGCAATGGGTTCAATGGGTGCTATGGACGCAATGGGTGCAATAGGTTCAATGGGTGCTTTGCCTTCAACGGGTGCCATGTGTACCGCGCCCCCCACATCACCCACCTGTGCCTCCCCGCCGTTCCCCCGTAGCTCCCATCCGCGGGTCCCCTGCTCCACGCTGCCGCCGCCGCCGCCAGGCCCCTGCCTCCTTCTTCCCACGGCTCCATCGCCCTCCGGGGGTCCCCTCCTCGGGGTCCCCCCCTTCCCCTCGCCCTCGCCCTTTCGGCTCCGTCCCCATAACCCCCAGCGTGCTGCTGCTGCTGCTGTTGATGATGATGATGATGATGATGATGAGGATGAGGAGGAAGAGGAGGCGGCCCCGCTTCCATCGCCTCCGGGGGGTGATCGCTGCTGCTTCGGCTGTCGACCTCTTCGATACCCGAATCGGTGACGGCATCCAGGCCGTCGGGGTGAGCCCCGAGACCTCCTCGCCTCCCTTCGGGCCCGCCTTGGGTGATGGTGGCCACTTCGCTGTCGTACGACGTGAGGCTGGAGGCCGTGGAGTCCCCGATGGCGGTGCCGGCGACGACGACGGAGGAAGAGGATGAGGAAGGAAGCGGGGCTTCGAAGCTGTTGGCGAACTCGAGCGGCGGCGGCAGCGGCTCGGCCAGCAGCAGCTCCTCGTCGCCGTCCTCCACCGAGGGAGCCGGCGGCGGCAGGGCCAGCAAGGCGCCGGCTTCGGCGAAGCGCACGCGGGGTTCCGCTGGGGAACCCCAAAGCTCGGCAGGGAGGAGAGACGGAGGGGGGAGCTCCGTTGGGGGTTTGCATGGAGGAGGAGGAGGAGGAGGAGGAGGAGGAGGAGGAGGTGGAGGAAGAGGAGAGGAGCGGAGCGGGGGCAAGGCCGCGGTAGGCCCGAGCGCCGCCATCTTGGCCGTTGCTAAGGGCGACGGCGTTGCTAAGGGCGGCAGGGCGGGCGCCATGTTGGTTGCTAGGGACGCCATGTCGGTCGCTAAGGGCGCCATGTCGGTCGCTAACGACGTCATGTCGGTCGCTAACGACGTCATGTCGGTCGCTAACGACGTCATGTCGCCCGCCGCGCTAGGCCTCAGCCCCACAGCGCCCGGCCTCAGCCCCACGGCGCCCGGCGGCAGCGGCCCTAAGCCCGCTTGCAAGGCCGCGAGCCCGGCCTGCAACGCGGCCGCCGCCGCCGCCATGGCTTTGGGCCTCGGAGCCGGTCCGGAGGAGGAAGAAGAGGACGAGGAAGCAGCGGCCACGCTACTGAAGGCGCTGCCGGCTCCGAGGCCTCCCCCTTTGGCCGCTCCCCGGTAACCGGGGTCGGCCGCGAACATCCCTTCGTCGATGCTCTTGGAATGGCGCAGGCGCGGAGGACCGGAAGCGGAAGTTAAGCCGGTCACACTTCCGGTTATGGCGGCTCTTCCTCCTCCATCCTCATCGTCCTCCTCGGTGGAGAGGAAGAGCGCGGAACGCCGCCGCCCCGCCCCCACCAACGCGGCTCCGAACTGAGACGTGAAGTCCATGGCGGGGGGGGAGGGGCGGGATGGGGACCCAACCCCTCCCCCTCCCATAACCCCTCCCCCCACCCCAACCGGGGGCTTCCCCGTCGCCCCTCCCCCCTCCAGGCCCGCCCCTCCCCCCGCTTCCGCCTCCACGCTGCTCCCGCGGCTGCTGCGCCCGCTGCTGCTCGTGGACGGAGCCTTCACCACGATGGTGGGGATGGAAATGGAGTCCGCCCCTCCCCCACCCCCCATCCCCACCCCCACCCCTCCCCCCACCCCCCCTTCCTCCACCTTGGTTTGTTTCACCAAGGGACCTTTCCTCCGCAAAGGTTTCGGGGGGCCCCCTCCCCCCCTTTCCCTCTCCCCTCCCCCCCCTAGGTTATAAAGGCGCCAAGGGGGGGTGACCCCCACCCCAACCCCCACCCCGCGGGGGGTGGAGGCGGGGGGGGGAGGGGCGGCGCTGCTGTACGGGGGTTCCGGGGGGGATGTGGTTGGGGGGGGAGGGATCTCCTCCGAGCCCGGTACCGAGAGGCTGCGGCTGAAGCGGCCGCTGGGGGGGGCCAGGAACGGGCGCTCCTCTTCCGGGGCGCCTGTAAAGAGAGAGGGGGAGGGGAGGAGGGGAGGGGATATAGGGGGTCCGATGGGGGGGCTATGGGGGATAAAGGGGTCCTATGGGGGGTCCTATGGGGGATAAAGGGGTCTTAGAGGGGATAAAGGGGGTTATAGGGGGATAAAGGGGTCCTATGGGGGGTCCTATGGGGGATAAAGGGGTCTTATAGGGGATAAAGGGGTCCTACAGGGGATAAAGGGGTCCTATAGGGGGTCCTATGGGGGATAAAGGGGTCCTATAGGGGATAAAGGGGTCCTATGGGGGTCTATGGGGGGGGCTATGGGGGATAAAGGGGTCCTATAGGGGTCCTATACGGGATAAAGGGGTCCTATAGGGGGTCCTATGGGGGATAAAGGGGGCTATAGGGGGACATAGGGGGTCCTATGGGGGGCCTATTGGGGATAAAGGGGTCCTATAGGGGGTCTATGGGGGGTCCTATGGGGGATAAAGGGGTCCGATGGGCGGACATAGGGGGTCCTATGGGGGATAAAGGGGTCTATAGGGGGATAAAGGGGTCCTATAGGGGGTCCTATGGGGGGCCTATGGGGGATAAAGGGGGCTATAGGGGGATAAAGGGGTCCTATGGGGGATAAAGGGGTCCTATGGGGGGTCCTATGGGGGATAAAGGGGTCTGATGGAGGGACATAGGGGGTCCTATGGGGGGTCCTATTGGGGATAAAGGGGTCCTATGGGGGTCTATGGGGGGGGTCCTATAGGGGATAAAGGGGTCCTATAGGGGTCTATGTGGGGTCCTATGGGGGATAAAGGGGTCCTGATGGAGGGATAAAGGGGTCCTATAGGGGGTCCTATAGGGGATAAAGGGGTCCTATAGGGGGTCCTATAGGGGATAAAGGGGGCTATAGGGGGACATAGGGGGTCCTATGGGGGGCCTATGGGGGATAAAGGGGTCCTATAGGGGATAAAGGGGTCCGATGGGGGGGCCATGGGGGATAAAGGGGTCCTATGGGGGGTCCTATGGGGGGTCCTATGGGGGATAAAGGGGTCCTATGGGGGGTCCTATAGGAGATAAAGGGGTCTGATGGAGGGACATAGGGGGTCCTATGGGGGGCCTATGGGGGATAAAGGGGTCCTATAGGGGTCCTATAGGGGATATGGGGGTCCTATAGGGAGTTATGGGGTTGCTATAGGGGGCTATGGGGGTCCTATAGGGGTCCTATAGGGGATAAAGAGGTCTATAGAGGTCTATGGGGAGTCCTATAGGGGACATAGGGGTCTATAGGGGATAAAGGGGTCCTATAGGGGACATAGGGGTCTGTAGGGGATAAAGGGTTCCTATAGGGGGACATAGGGGTCCTATGGGGGACTATGGGGTCTAGGGGGCTATAGGGGGATAAAGGGGTCCTATGGGGGACATAGGGGTCTATAGGGGATAAAGGGGTCCTATAGGGGACATAGGGGTCTATAGGGGATAAAGGGGTCCTATAGAGGTCTATAGGGGACAAAGGGGTCTATAAGGGACATAGGGGTCTATAGGGGACAAAGGGGTCCTATAGGGGACACAGGGGTCTATAAGGGGTCCTGTAGGGGACATAGGGGGTTCTATAGGGGATAAAGGGGTCCTATGGGGACAAAGGTGTCTATAGGGGACATAGGGGTCCTATAGGGGACATAGTGTTCTACAGGGGACATAAGGGTCCTATAGGGGATATGGGGCTCCTATAGGGGACAGGGGGGCCCTATAGGGGACAAAGGGGGCCATGGCACCTATAGGGATGTGCCCCCATAGATGGAAGCTATAGAGAGCCCACAACTGGCACAGAGAAGGCATAGGGGACCCCCCCGCCCCCCATCTATAGGGAACCCCAGCACCCATAGGGACCCATAACAGGAACCTCACCCCATAGGGACCCCATTACTCATCCCCATAGGGCCTCCCCCTAGCACCGATAGGGACCCCTCCCAGCACCCATAGGGACCCTCAGCACCCATAGGGACCCCAGCACCCATAGGGACCCCCCCAGCACCCATAGGGATCCCCCCAGCACCCATAGGGACCCCCCAGCACCCATAGGGACCCCCCCAGCACCCATAGGGACCCTCAGCATCCATAGGGACCTCCCCAGCACCCATAGGGACCTCCTCAGCACCCATAGGGACCCCCCAGCACCCATAGGGACCCCTGCACCCATAGGGACACCCCCAGCACCCATAGGAATCCCCCCAGCACCCATAGGGACCCTCAGCACCCATAGGGACCTCAGCACCCATAGGAACCCTCAGCACCCACAGCCTCTCCCCCAGCACCCATAGGGACCTCCCAGCACCCATAGGGACCCTCAGCACCCACAGCCCCGCCCCCAGCACCCATAGGGACCTCCCCAGCACCCATAGGAACCCCCAGCACCCATAGGGACCCTCAGCACCCATAGGAACCCTCAGCACCCATAGGGGCCTCAGCACCCACAGGGACCTCCCCAGCACCCATTGGGACCCCAGCACCCATAGGACCCCCCAGCACCCATAGGAACCCTCAGCACCCATAGGGACCCCCCAGCACCCATAGGAACCCTCAGCACCCATAGGGCCCCCCCCAGCACCCATAGGGACCCTCAGCACCCATAGGGACCCCCAGCACCCACAGCCCCGCCCCCAGCACCCATGGGTGCCCCCCCAGCACTCATAAGGACCCCAGCACCCATAGGAACCCACAGCCCCGCCCCCAGCACCCATGGGTGCCCCCCCAGCACCCACCTATGGATTTCTGTCGCAGGACGAGCCCGTGGGGGGGGGGCGGCAGGAACCCGCGGTCGAACCCCCCCGGGGGCAGGCGGGGGGCATCGAAGGTGGCCTGGGGGGGGAGGGGGGCACAGATTGGGGATCCCCCATAGGGACCCACATTGGGGACCCCCCCCGTGGGACCCCCCAGTCAGATGCCCCCATAGGGACCCACATTGGGGACCCCCCCATAGGGACCCACATTGGGAACCCCACATTGGGGACCCCCCCATAGGGATCCACATTGGGACCCCCCCCCATAGGGACCCACATTGGGGACCCCCCCATAGGGACCCCCCCATAGGGGATCCCCCCCATAGGGACCCACATTGGGACCCCCCCCCAATAGGGACCCACATTGGGAACCCCCCCCCAATAGGGACTCACATTGGGGACCCCCCCATAGGGGATCCCCCCCATAGGGACCCACACTGGGGACACCCCATAAGAACCGTCCATAGGGACCCACATTGGGGACCCCCCCATAGGGAATCACATTGGGGACTCCCCCCCATAGGGACCCACATTGGGGATCCCCCCCATAGGGAACCACATTGGGGACCCCCCATAGGGACCCACATTGGGAACCCCACATTGGGGACCCCCCCCATAGGGACCCACATTGGGGACCCCCCCCCATAAGGACCCCCCCCCATAGGGACCCACACTGGGGACACCCCGTAAGAGCCTCCCATAGGGACCCACACTGGGGACCCCTCATGGGGACCCCACACTGGGGACCCCCCCATAGGGACCCACATTGGGGACCCCCTCCCATAGGGACCCACATTGGGGACCCCATAAGAACCCCCCATAGGGACCCACATTGGGGACCCCCCCCCATAGGGACCCACATTGGGACCCCCCCCAGAATCCCCCATAGGGACCCACATTGGGACCCCCCCCCATAAGGACCCACATTGGGGACACCCCCCCATAGGGAACCACACTGGGGACACCCCCCCATCAGGACCCACATTGGGAACCCCACATTGGGGGCCCCCCCCCCCATAAGGACCCACATTGGGGACCCCCTCCCATAGGGAACCACATTGGGGACCCCCCCCATAGGGAACCACATTGGGAACCCCCCCATAGGGGATCCCCCCCATAGGGACCCACATTGGGGACCCCCCCCCATAGGGAACCACATTGGGGACCCCCCCCCATAGGGACCCACACTGGGGACAACCCCCCATAGGGAACCACATTGGGGACCCCCCCCCATAGGGACCCACACTGGGGACACCCCATAAGAACCGTCCATAGGGACCCACATTGGGGACCCCTCATGGGGACCCCCCCACATAGGGAACCACATTGGGGACACCCCATAAGGCCCCCATAGGGACCCACATTGGGCTCACCCACCCCCATAAGGCACACCACATTGGGGACCCACCCATAGGGACCCACACACACACCCCCCCAGGGACCCACATTGGGAGCCCCCCATAGGCACCCCCATTGGGGACCCCCCCATAGCACCCACATATTGGAGACCCCCCCATAGGGACCCACATTGGGGACCCCCCATAGCACCCACATATTGGAGACCCCCCCCAAGGGACCCCCACATTGGGGACCCCCCCCCCCACCCCAGGTACCTCCCATATTGAGCCCCCCCCCCAATGGACCCAGGTATTGGGGCCCCCCCCATAGGGACCCCCCCATCGGCCGCCCCCCACCTCAGCCCCATAGAAGCCCTTGGGCCGGGCCTTGCCCAGGGGGGGGAGGGGCGCCCCCGGCCCCTCCCCCACGCTGATGCTCTGCTGGGCCGCGGCCAGGATCTCGTCCAGCTTGTCTGGGGGGAGGGGGGGGGACACCCCAATGTCAGCACCCATAGGGACCCATAGAGACCCATAGAGACCCACAGGGACCCATAGATACCAGTGTACCCCATAGAGACCCGCAATGTACCCCAATGAACCCCATAGAGACCCACAGGGACCCAGACCCATGACCCATAGGGACCCCAACCCCATGTACCCTATAGACACCCATAGACACCAATGTACCCCAATGTACCCCATGGACACCCATAGACACCAATGCACCCCAATTTACCCCATGGACACCCATAGACACCAATGCACCCCAATGTACCCCATGGACACCCACAGACACCAATGTACCCCAATGTACCCCATGGACACCCACAGACACCAATGTACCCCAATGTACCCTATAGACACCCATAGACACCAATGTACCCCAATGTACCCCATGGACACCCACAGACACCAATGCACCCCAATGTACCCCATGGACACCCATAGACACCAATGCACCCCAATGTACCCCATGGACACCCATAGACACCAATGTACCCCAATGTACCCCATGGACACCCATAGACACCAATGCACCCCAATGTACCCTATAGACACCCATAGACACCAATGTACCCCAATGTACCCCATGGACACCCATAGACACCAATGCAACCCAATGTACCCCATGGACACCCATAGACACCAATGTACCCCAATGTACCCCATGGACACCCATAGACACCAATGCACCCCAATGTACCCCATGGACACCCATAGACACCAATGCACCCCAATGTACCCCATGGACACCCATAGAAACCAATGCACCCCATGGACACCCATAGACACCAATGCACCCCAATGTACCCCATGGACACCAATGCACCCCAATGTACCCTATAGACACCCATAGACACCAATGCACCCCAATGTACCCCATGGACACCCATAGACACCAATGTACCCCAATGTACCCCATGGACACCCATAGACACCAATGTACCCCATGGACACCCACAGACACCAATGCACCCCATGGACACCCATAGACACCAATGCACCCCAATGTACCCCATGGACACCAATGCACCCCATGGACACCCATAGACACCAATGCACCCCAATGTACCCCATGGACACCCACAGACACCAATGCACCCCAATGCACCCCATGGACACCCACAGACACCAATGCACCCCAATGTACCCCATGGACACCCACAGACACCAATGTACCCCAATGTACCCCATGGACACCCATAGACACCAATGTACCCCAATGCACCCCATGGACACCCATAGACACCAATGCACCCCATGGACACCCATAGACCCCAATGCACCCCAATGCAGCCCCATAGACCCCAATCCACACCAGCACCCAGCAGCACCCCCATGGGGGGGGGCTTAGGGTCTCCCACCCATAGACCCCCCCCACCCATAGACCCCCCCACCCATGGGCCCCCCCATAGCACCCCCTTACTGAGCGCCATCTGATAGACTGTCCTCTTCTTCTCCGTGGCCACCGAGGCGTCGTACTCTGGGGAGAGAGAGAGGGGCACCCATGGGTGGGGGTATGGGTGCTGGGGGGGGGGCGGTGGTCCTATGGGTGACCTGATGGGTGCCAGGGGTGATGGGTGCTAGGGGAGTCCTAATGGGTGCTGGAGCGATGGGTGCTGGGGGGGGGGTGGGTGTCCCATGGGTGCTGGGGGTGATTGATGGGTGCTGGCAGAGAGGGGTGCCCATGGGGTGCAATGGGCACGCAAGACCCACGCGAGCTTGCGAAGGGCGATGCGTGTGCCATGTGTGCAGTGCGTGTGCAACACATGTGCGAGGCGTGTTCGATGCATGTTTGAGGCGTGTTCGATGCATGTTTGAGGTGTGTTCGAGGCGTGTTCAATGCATGTTTGAGGTGTGTTCAATGCATGTTTGAGGTGTGTTCGAGGCATGTTCGATGCATGTTTGAGGTGTGTTCGAGGCGTGTTCGATGCATGTTTGAGGTGTGTTCAAGGTGTGTTCGATGCATGTTTGAGGTGTGTTCGATGCATGTTTGAGGTGTGTTCGAGGCGTGTTCAATGCATGTTTGAGGTGTGTTCGAGGCGTGTTCGATGCATGTTTGAGGTGTGTTCGAGGCGTGTTCGATGCATGTTTGAGGTGTGTTCGAGGCGTGTTCGATGCATGTTTGAGGTGTGTTCGAGGCGTGTTCGATGCATGTTTGAGGTGTGTTCGAGGCGTGTTCAATGCATGTTTGAGGTGTGTTCGAGGCGTGTTCGATGCATGTTTGAGGTGTGTTCGAGGCGTGTTCGATGCATGTTTGAGGTGTGTTCGAGGCGTGTTCAATGCATGTTTGAGGTGTGTTCGAGGCATGTTCAATGCATGTTTGAGGTGTGTTCTAGGCGTGTTCGATGCATGTTTGAGGTGTGTTCGAGGCGTGTTCAATGCATGTTTGAGGTGTGTTCAAGGCGTGTTTGATGCGTGTTCAATGCATGTTTGAGGTGTGTTCGAGGCGTGTTTGATGTGTGTTTAATGCATGTTTGAGGTGTGTGCAAGGCGTGTTCGAGGCATGTTTGAGGTGTGTTCGAGGCATGTTTGATGCGTGTTCAATGCATGTTTGAGGTGTGTTCAAGGCGTGTTCAATGCATGTTTGAGGTGTGTTCGAGGCGTGTTCGAGGCATGTTCAATGCATGTTTGAGGTGTGTTCAAGGCGTGTTCAATGCATGTTTGAGGTGTGTTTGAGGTGTGTTCAATGCATGTTTGAGGTGTGTTCGAGGCGTGTTCAATGCATGTTTGAGGTGTGTTCGAGGCATGTTCAATGCATGTTTGAGGTGTGTTCAAGGCGTGTTCAATGCATGTTTGAGGTGTGTTCTATGCGTGTTCAATGCATGTTCGAGGCGTGTTCAATGCATGTTTGAGGTGTGTTCAATGCATGTTTGAGGTGTGTTCGAGGCGTGTTCAATGCATGTTTGAGGTGTGTTCAATGCATGTTTGAGTTGTGTTCAAGGTGTGTTCGAGGCGTGTTCAATGCATGTTTGAGGTGTGTTCAAGGCGTGTTCAATGCATGTTTGAGGTGTGTTTGAGGCGTGTTCAATGCATGTTTGAGGTGTGTTCAAGGCGTGTTCGATGCATGTTTGAGGTGTGCTCGAGGCGTGTTTGATGCGTGTTCAATGCATGTTTGAGGTGTGTTCGAGGCGTGTTCGATGCATGTTTGAGGTGTGTTTGATGCGGGTTCGATGCGTATTTGAGGTGTGTTCTATGCGTGTTTGATGCGTGTTCAATGCATGCTTGAGGTGTGTCTCATATGTGTTCAATGCATGTTCAAGGCGTGTTTGATGCATGTTCGAAGTGTGTTTGACACGCGTTCAAGGCACATTCAATGCATGTTCAGTGTGTGAGGTGTAGTCGATGCATGTTCAAAGCGTGTTGATGCGTGTTTCATGCATGTTTGATGCGTGTTTGAGGCATGTTTGATGTGCGTTCGATGCATCTTCAATGCGTGTTTGATGCATATTCAAGGCGTGTTTGAGGCATGTTTGATGCGTGTTCAAGGCTTGTTTGGTGCGTGTTTGAGGCATGTTCAATGCATGATGTGTGTTCAAGGCATGTTCGATGTGTGTTCAAGGCATGTTTGATGTGTGTTCAAGGTGTGTTCAATGCGTGTGCAAGGCACATTCAATGCACGTTCAGTGTGCATTTGAGGTGTGTTCGATATATGTTCAATGCGTGTTGATGCATGTTTGATGCGTGTTCAATGCATGTTCGAGGTGTATTTGATGTGTGTTCAATGCATGTTTGATGTGTGTTCAATGCATGTTTGATGCATGTTCAATGCATGTTCCATGTGTGTTCGAGGCATGTTTGATGTGTGTTCAATGCATGTTTGACGCGTGTTCAATGCGTGTTCGATACATGTTCAATGCATGTTCCATGTGTGTTCAATGCGTATTTGATGTGTGTTTAATGCATGTTTGATGTGTGTTCATGTTTGATGCGTGTTCAATGCATGTTTGATGTGTGTTCAATGCATGTTCGATGCATGTTCAAGGCGTGTTGATGCATGTTCAATGCGTGTTCGATGCATGTTCAATGCATGTTTAATGCGTGTTCAAGGCGTGTTCCATGCGTGTTTGATGCACTCACCAGTGCGCTTCTTCCATGGGGAGACTGGGGAGACACGAGAACGGTTACGGGGGGGCACTGGGGGGGGGGGTCAATGGGGATCAATGGGGCTCACATTGGGGTCAATGGGGTTGGGGGGGGTTAAAGTGGGGTCATGGGGGGGGGTCAAAGGGAACCCAAAGGGGGGAGGGGCCCCCCACACTCACCTTTCTCCACTGCAAGGGGAAGGGGGGGGAAGGTTAGAGGTTAAAGGTTAAAGGTCAGAAATCCCCCCCCCCATCACTGAACACCCCCACCCACAAGGGGCTTTAAGGGACCCCAATACCCAGGCACCCCCCCCCCCCCCATAGACACCCCCTGCCCCCCCAGGACTCCCATTGATCACCACAAGCACCCCCCATAGACCCCCCAAACCCCCCCCTACAGCCCCCCCCCCACCCCCAGGACTCCCAATGCCCCCCCCACAAGCACCCCCCATAGACCCCCCCCATACAGCCCCTGCCCCCCCAACCCCCCCCCCAGGACTCCCATTGACCCCCCCAAGCACCCCCCATAGACCCCCCAAACCCTTCCATAGCCCCCTCCCACCCCCTTCAGAGACTCCCTCAGGACCCTCCCCCCACCCCCAATGCCCCCCACCCCCCCATCCCCCCCCCAACCCCCCCATCCCCCCCCCCTCACCCATCTCCTCCAGCTCCGAGGTCATGGATTTGGAGCGCAGGGAAATGGCCGGGGCCGGGAGGCGCCGAGGCTGGGGGGGGGCAGCTGCGGGGGGGGGCGGGGAGAGGGGGGGGGGGAGAGGGGAGTCAGGGACCCCCCCTTAGGGCCCCCCCCCTCCCCAATACATAGACACAGGTGACACCCCCCATGGCCCCATTCATGAGCCCTATGAGCTCCATTCATGAGCCCAATGAGCCCCATTCATGACCCAATGAGCTCCATTCATGAGCCCAATGAGCCCCATTCATGACCCAATGAGCTCCATTCATGACCCAATGAGCCCCATTCATGACCCAATGAGCTCCATTCATGACCCAATGAGCCCCATTCATGACCCAATGAGCCCCATTCATGACCCAATGAGCCCCATTCATGAGCCCAATGAGCTCCATTCATGACCCAATGAGCCCCATTCATGAGCCAATGAGCTCCATTCATGACCCAATGCCCCCATTCATGAGCCTAATGAGCCCCATTCATGACCCAATGAGCCCCATTCATGAGCCCAATGAGCCCCATTCATGAGCCAAATGATGACCCAATGAGCCCCATTCATGACCCCCCCATTCATGACCCAATGCCCCCCATTCATGACCCAATGCCCCCCATTCATGACCCAATGAGCCCCATTCATGAGCCCAATGAGCCCCATTCATGACCCCAATGCTGCCCATTCATGACCCAATGCCCCCCATTCATGACCCAATGAGCCCCATTCATGACCCAATGAGCCCCATTCATGAGCCCAATGACCCCCATTCATGAGCCAAATGAACCCCATTCATGACCCAATGAGCCCCATTCATGACCCAATGAGCTCCATTCATGACCCAATGAGCCCCATTCATGACCCAATGAACCCCATTCATGACCCAATGAGCCCCATTCATGACCCAATGAGCCCCATTCATGACCCAATGCCCCCCATTCATGACCCAATGAGCCCCATTCATGACCCAATGAGCCCCATTCATGACCCAATGAGCCCCATTCATGAGCCCAATGAGCCCCATTCATGAGCCCAATGAACCCCATTCATGACCCAATGACCCCCATTCATGACCCAATGAGCTCCATTCATGAGCCAATGACCCCCATTCATGAGCCCAATGAGCCCCAGTCATGACCCAATGAGCCCCATTCATGACCCCCATTCATGACCCAATGCCCCCATTCATGAACCCAATGAGCCCCATTCATGACCCAATGACCCCCATTCATGACCCAATGAACCCCCCATTCATGACCGAATGAGCCCCATTCATGACCCCAATGCTGCCCATGCATGACCCAATGAGCTCCATTCATGACCCAATGAGCCCCATTCATGAGCCCCATTCATGACCCAATGAGCCCCATTCATGAGCCCCATTCATGACCCCAATGCCCCCATTCATGACCCCAATGCCCCCCATTCATGAGCCCAATGCCGCCCATTCATGACCCAATGAGCCCCATTCATGACCCAATGAGCCCCATTCATGACCCCAATTCCGCCCATTCATGACCCAATGAGCCCCATTCATGACCCAATGAGCCCCATTCATGACCCAATGCCCCCCATTCATGACCCAATGAGCCCCATTCATGACCCCAATTCCGCCCATTCATGACCCAATGAGCTCCATTCATGACCCAATGAGCCCCATTCATGACCCCAATTCTGCCCATTCATGACCCAATGAGCCCCATTCATGACCCAATGAGCCCCATTCATGACCCCAATGCTCCCCAGTCATGACCCCAATGACATCCCTATGACCCCCCTATTCTTACGTACCCCCATGACCTGTCTGACCCCCACTGACCCCCTCATCATCCCATAGACACCCCTGACCCCATTGACACCAGATGAGCCCTATTCATGGCCAATGACCCCCCCATGACACCTCACATGGCCCCCAATTCCCCCCCATCACCCTATTGACCCATTGACACCAAATGACCCCCATTGTCCCCCTGCATTGTCCCATTGACCCCCCCATTGACTCCAGATGACTCCATTCATGAACCCAATGACATTCCCATCACCCCATTGACTCCTGATGACCCCCATTGACCCCCCATCACCCCATTGACCCCCCATCACCCCATTGACCCCCCCATTGACCCCAGATGACTCCATTCATGAACCCAATGACATTCCCATCACCCCATTGACCCCCTGACTCCCAATGACCCCCATTGACCCCCCATCACCCCATTGACTCCCGATAACCCCATTCATGAACCCAATGACATTCCCATCACCCCATTGACCCCCATTGACCCCCATCACCCCATTGACCCCCCATTGAATCCCAATGACTCTCCCATCACCCCATTGACTCCCCATTCACTCCCGATGACTCCCCCATCACCCCATTGACTCCCCATTGACTCCTGATGACCCCCATTGACCACCCATCACCCCATTGACCCCCCCCATTGACCCCAGATGACTCCATTCATGAACCCAATGACATTCCCATCACCCCATTGATCCCCCATTGACTCCCGATGAATCCCCCATCACCCCATTGACCCCCCATTGAATCCCAATGACTCCCCCATCACCCCATTGACCCCCCATTGACTCCTGATGACCCCCATTGACCCCCCATCACCCCATTGACCCCCCCATCACCCCATTGACCCCCCCATTGACTCCAGATGACTCCATTCATGAACCCAATGACATTCCCATCACCCCATTGACCCCCCATTGCCCCCCGTTGCCCCTCACCCCTGCGCCGGGGCCCCTCGGGCTCCGGGTGCCGCGTCACCATGACAACCTTGAGCACGAGGCTGTTCCCGCCCTGCCGGATCATGGACACGACCTGGCGGTGCCCGACCTTGACCACGTTCTGCCCGTTCACCTGCGCGCGACACCCGCGTCACACGCGATGACACGCAATGACACGCGATGACACATGATGACACGCTACAACACGCGATGACACGCAATGACACGCGACGACACGTGATGGCACGCGACAACACGCGATGACACGCAATGACACGCGACGACACGTGATGACACGCGACAACACGCGATGACACGCAATGACACGCGACACGTGATGACACGCGAAAACACGCAATGACACGCGACGACACGTGATGACACGCGACAACACGCGATGACACGCAATGACACGCGATGACACGCGACGACACGTGATGACACGCGACGACACGATGACATGCAATGACACGCGACGACACACGACATGTGACGACACGCGATGACACAAAATGACACGCGATGACGTGATGACACGAGGACATGCAATGACACGCGACGACACACGACGACATGCAATGACACGCAACGAAACACGACACATGATGACACGCAATGACACGATGACATGCAATGACATGACATGCAATGACACGAAACCTGCGTCACACGCAACATGCGACGACACGCAACAACACGCGATGACACATGATGACATGAAATGACATGATGACACGCGACGACACGGTGACATGCAATGACGCAATGACACGCTACAACACACGATACCATGCTATGACACATGATGACACGCTACCACACGCTACAACACATGACGACACGCTACAACACATGACACGCAATGACACGCTATGACACATGATGCGATGGATGCCATGGATGCCATGGGTGCCATGGGTGCAATGGGTGCCATGGGTGCCATGGCTGCTGTGGGTGCCATGGCTGCAATGGCTGCAATGGGTGCCATGGATACAATGGATGCCATGGATGCCATGACTGCAATGGATGCCCTGGGTGCCATGGGTGCAATGGATGCCATGGATACAATAGATGCCATGGGTGCCATGGCTGCTGTGGGTGCCATGGATGCAATGGTTGCCATGGATGCAATGGGTGCTATGGATGCCATGGATGCAATGGGTGCCATGGATGCCATGGGTGCCATTGGTGCAATGGCTGCAATGGATGTCATGGATGCAATGGGTACCATGGGTGCCATGGATACAATGGATGCCATGGGTGCAATGGGTACCACGGGTGCCATGGATACAATGGATGCCATGGGTGCAATGGGTACCATGGGTGCCATGGGTGCCATAGATACAATGGATGCCATGGGTGCCATGGATACAATGGATGCCATGGATACAATGGATGTCATGGATGCAATGGGTACCATGGGTGCCATGGATACAATGGATGCCATGGGTGCAATGGGTACCATGGGTGCCATGGGTGCCATAGATACAATGGATGCCATGGGTGCCATGGATACAATGGATGCCATGGATACAATGGATGCCATGGATGCAATGGGTACCATGGGTGCCATGGATACAATGGATGTCATGGATGCAATGGGTACCATGGGTGCCATGGATACAATGGATGCCATGGGTGCAATGGGTACCATGGGTGCCATGGATACAATGGGTGCCATGGATGCCATGGATACAATGGATGCCATGGGTGCAATGGGTACCATGGGTGCCATGGATACAATGGGTGCCATGGATGCCATGGGTGCAATGGATACAATGGATGCCATGGAAGCCATGGGTGCAATGGATGCCATGGGTGGCATGGATGCCATGGGTGCCATGGGTGCCATGGATGCAATGGATGCCATGGGTGCCATGGGTGCAATGGATGCAATGGCTGCAATGGATGCCATGGATGCAATGGGTGCCATGGGTGCAATGGATGCAATGGATGCCATGGGTGCAATGGGTGCCATGGGTGCCATGGATACAATGGGTGCCATGGATGCCATGGGTGCCATGGATACAATGGATGCCATGGGTGCAATGGGCACCATGGATACAATGGATGTCATGGATGCAATGGGTACCATGGGTGCCATGGATACAATGGATGCCATGGGTGCAATGGGTACCATGGGTGCCATGGATACAATGGATGCCATGGGTGCCATGGATACAATGGATGCCATGGGTGCAATGGGTACCATGGGTGCAATGGATGCCATGGGTGCCATGGATGCCATGGGTGCCATGGGTGCAATGGGTGCCATGGATACAATGGCTGCCCTGGGTGCTGTGGGTGCCATGGATGCCCTGGGTGCCATGGATGCCATGGGTGCCATGGATGCCATGGGTGCAATGGATGCCATGACTGCAATGGATGCCATGGGTGCCATGGATGCCATGGATGCAATGGGTGCAATGGCTGCCCTGGGTGCCATGGGTGCCATGGATGCAATGGATGCCATGGATGCAATGGATGCCATGGATGCAATGGGTGCAATGGGTGCCCTGGGTGCCATGGGTGCCATGGATGCAATGGATGCCATGGATGCAATGGATGCCATGGATGCCCTGGGTGCCATGGATACAATGGATGCCATGGGTGCTGTGGGTACCATGGATGCCCTGGGTGCCATGGATGCAATGGATGCCATGGGTGCAATGGCTGCCCTGGGTGCTGTGGGTACCATGGCTGCCCTGGGTGCCATGGCTGCCCTGGGTGCCATGGATGCAATGGGTGCTGCGGCGCCGCGGGTGCTGACCTCGATGAGGAAGTCCCCCATGCGCAGCCCGGCTCTCCAGGCCACGCCGCCCTCATCCACGGACTCCAGGTACTGCAGCGCCGGGAACGCCGGCGTCGGGGTGAACTCCTCGATGGGCGTCTGCGCTGCGGGGGGGGTCACGGCTGCGGCCGCCCCCCCCCCCCTCCCCGGCACCCCCCTGACACCCCTTCAGCATCCCCATCACCCCCATCCCCATCATCATCCTCATCCTCATCCCCATCACCCCCATCCCCATCATCATCCTCATCCCCATCCCCATCCCCATCACCCCCATCCCCATCATCATCCTCATCCTCATCCCCATCCCCATCACCCCCATCCCCATCATCATCCTCATCCCCAGCCGCATCCCCATCATCTTCATCCCCATCCCCATCATCTTCATCCCCATCCCCATCATCATCCTCATCCCCAGCCCCATCCCCATCATCTTCATCCCCATCCCCATCATCATCCTCATCATCCTCATCCCCATCATCTTCATCCCCATCCCCATCATCATCCTCATCCCCATCCCCATCCCCATCCCCATCATCCCCATCATCATCATCCCCATCAGCATCATCCCCATCACCCCCATCCCCATCATCTCATCCCCATCCCCATCACCCCCATCCCCATCATCCTCATCCCCATCATCCCCAGCCCCATCCCCATCATCATCATTCATCCCCATCCCCATCATCATTCATCCCCATCCCCATCATCATCCCCATCATCTTCATCCCCATCAGCATCATCCCCATCCCCATCATCATCCTCATCCCCAGCCCCATCCCCATCATCTTCATCCCCATCCCCATCATCATCCCCATCATCTTCATCCCCATCCCCACACCCATCCTCATCCTCATCCCCATCCCCATCATCCTCATCCCCATCCCCATCAGCATCCCCATCCACATCATCATCCTCATCCCCAGCCCCACCCCCATCAGCAGCATCCCCATCCCCCTCATCTTCATCCCCATCAGCATCATCCCCATCATCATCCTCATCCTCATGCCCATCCTCATCCCCATCCCCATCATCATCCTCATCCTCATCCCCATCATCCTCATCCCCAACATCTTCATCTCTATCCCCATCCCCATCATCCTCATCCCCATCCCCATCATCTTCATTCCCATCTCCATCCTCATCCCCATCATCCCCATCATCATCCTCATCCTCATCCCCATCATCTTCCCCATCATCTTCCCCATCCCCATCATCATCCTCATCCCCATCATCTTCATCCCCATCCCCATCATCATCCCCATCCAAATCAGCATCTTCATCCTCATCCCCATCCCCATCCCCATCATCATCCTCATCTGCCCTTCACCCCCCTTTGGCATCATCGTCATCCCCGTCATCCTCTTCATCCCCCCTTCATCATCATCATCCCCTTCCTCCCATCCCCCTGATCCTCATTCACTCCAAGCAGCCCTTTTGTACCCCCCTCCTTCATCATCATCATCCCATGCCCTTCATCCCCATCATCCTCATCATCATCATCCCATGCCCTTCATCCCCATCATCCTCATCATCATCATCCCATGCCCTTCATCCCCATCATCGTCATCATCATCATCCCATGCCCTTCATCCCCATCCTCATCCCCATCCTCATCCTCATCATTATCCCATGCCCTTCATCCCCATCCTCATCATCATCCCATGCCCTTCATCCTCATCATCATCATCCCATGCCCTTCATCCCCATCCTCATCCCCATCTTCATCATCATCCCATGCCCTTCATCCCTCATCCCCATCATCATCATAATCCCATGCCCTTCATCCCCATCATCATCATCCCATGCCCTTCATCCCCATCCTCATCCCCATCATCATCATTATCCCATGCCCTTCATCCCCATCCTCATCATCATCCCATGCCCTTCATCCCCATCCTCATCCCCATCCTCATCCTCATCATTATCCCATGCCCTTCATCCCCATCCTCATCCCCATCATCATCATTATCCCATGCCCTTCATCCCCATCCTCATCATCATCATTATCCCATACCCTTCATCCCCATCCTCATCATCATCATCCCATCCCCTTCATCCCTATCATCCTCATCCTCACCCTCACCCCCATCTCCTTCATCTGACCCAGATGCCCCTGGACCCCCATAGAGACCCTCAGGACCCCCATAACCCCCCCAGCAACCCCATAGACCCCCCTAGGACCACCATAGACCCCCAATAGACCCCCCCATAGTGACACCCTATAGACACCCCATAGACCCCCAATAGACCCCATAGACCCCCCTAGGACCCACATAGACCCCCCTAGGACCACCATAGACCCCCAGTAGACCCCATAGACCCCCTTTGACCCACATAGACCCCCCTAGGACCCCCATAGACCCCCTCTGGACCCCCATAGACCCCCCCCAGCACCCCCATGTACCCCCCAATGGACCCGCATAGACGCCCCCCGGACCCCCATAGACCCCCCCAGGACCCCCATAGACCCTCAATGGACCCCATAGACCCCCCTAGGACCCCCATAGACCCCCTCTGGACCCCCCTAGATCCCTCTTAGGACCCCCATAGACCCCCAATGGACCCCATAGACCCCCCTAGGACCCCCATAGACCCCCTCTGGACCCCCAATGGACCCCATAGACCCCCAACGGACCCCATAGACCCCCCTAGACCCCCAATGGACCCCATAGACCCCCAATAGACCCCCATAGACCCCCCTAGGACCACCATAGACCCCCCTAAGACCCCATAGACCCCCCTAAGGACCCCCCTAGACCCCCAATGGACCCCCATAGAGACCCCCATCGCCCCCCCTGCTCACCCTTGGCCCCACGCAGGACAAAGCCGAAGCCTTCGTTGTCCTTCTTCTGGAGCAGAACGGTCTTCTCCTTGATGATGTAATCACTGGGACACGGGATCCACATGGGATACACACGGGATACACACGGGATACACATGGGATACACATGGGATCCACACGGGATACACAGGGGATACACACAGGACACACACGGGATACACACGGGATACACAAGGGATACACATGGGATACACACAGGATACACACAGGATACACATGGGATACACAGGGAATACAAAGGGGATACACAAGGGATACACCATCGATCCACCCACCTGCTCACCCTTGGCCCCACGCAGGACAAAGCCGAAGCCTTCGTTGTCCTTCTTCTGGAGCAGAACGGTCTTCTCCTTGATGATGTAATCACTGGGACACGGGATCCACATGGGATACACACGGGATACACACGGGATACACAGGGGATACACACGGGATACACAGGGGATACACACGGGATACACAGGGGATACACAGGGGATACACATGGGATACACACGGGATACACAGGGGATACACACGGGATACACACGGGATACACACGGGATACACACGGGATACACAGGGGATACACAGGGGATACACAGGGGATACACACGGGATACACACGGGATACACATGGGATACACAGGGGATACACACGGGATACACATGGGATACACACGGGATACACAGGGGATACACACGGGATACACACGGGATACACACGGGATACACAGGGGATACACACGGGATACACAAGGGATACACACGGGATACACACGGGATACACACGGGATACACACGGGACACACATGGGATACAAACGGGATACACACGGGATACACACGGGATACACATGGGATACACATGGGATACACAGGGGATACACAGGGGATACACAGGGGATACACAGGGATACACATGGGATACACACGGGATACACAGGGGATACACACGGGATACACAGGGGATACACACGGGATACACATGGGACACACATGGGATACACAGGGGATACACACGGGATACACACGGGATACACACGGGATACACATGGGATACACAGGGGATACACAGGGGATACACAAGGGATACACATGGGATACACACGGGATACACACGGGATACACACGGGATACACACGGGATACACACGGGATACACACGGGATACACATGGGATACACACGGGATACACATGGGATACACACGGGATACACAGGGGATACACACGGGATACACACGGGATACACATGGGATACACACGGGATACACATGGGATACACACGGGATACACACGGGATACACACGGGATACACACGGGATACACATGGGATACACACGGGATACACACGGGATACACACGGGATACACACGGGATACACGGGATATACATGGGATACACAAGGGATACACATGGGATACACAAGGGATAGACACGGGATACACACGGGATACACATGGGATACACATGGGATACACATGGGATACACACGGGATACACATGGGATACACACGGCATACAAAGGGGATACACACGGGATACACATGGGATACACAGGGGATACACATGGGATACACAGGGGATACACACGGGATACACACGGGATACACACGGGATACACAGGGGATACACACGGGATACACATGGGATACACACGGGATACACACGGGATCCACATGGGATACACACGGGATACACACGGGATACACACGGGATACACAGGGGATACACACAGGATACACACGGGATACACACGGGATACACACGGGATACACATGGGATACACACGGGATACAAAGGGGATACACACGGGATACACATGGGATACACAGGGGATACACATGGGATACACATGGGATACACACGGGATACACATGGGATACACACGGGATACACAGGGGATACACACGGGATACACACGGGATACACATGGGATACACATGGGATACACACGGGATACACAGGGGATACACATGGGATACACACGGGATAAACATGGGATACACACGGGATACACACGGGATACACACGGGATACACACGGGATACACACGGGATACACACGGGATACACAAGGGATACACATGGGATATACACGGGATACACACGGGATACACACGGGATACACACGGGATACACAGGGGATACACACGGGATACACATGGGATACACACGGGATACACACGGGATACACATGGGATACACATGGGATACACATGGGATACACATGGGATACACACGGGATACACAGGGGATACACACGGGATACACATGGGATACACATGGGATACACACAGGATACACAGGTGATACACATGGGACATGAGCACACGCGGCCCCATGGGGTGATGGGGGGGGGGGGGCAGAGGTGCCCCCCGAGTGCCCCCAGCCCCACACACGCGTGTGCCCTGCCCGCTGCCGCCACCTGCACACGCACACGGACACACACGCACACACGTGTACATACGTGTACATACGTGTCTTAGCGGGCAGGAGGCCACACAGGGCCCCCTGCCCCCCCCCCCCCCACAATGGACCCCTATGGGTCCCTATGCAGGCCCCCCTTCCCCCCCCCCCCCATAGGGGTCCCTACACATGATCCCATGTCCCACACGTGTCCCCATACATGTCCCATCTATGGTCCCCTGTGTCCCCATATGTGTCTATGGGGGGGTCTATAGGGAGTCTATGGGGGGGGTCTATAGGGTGTCTATGGGGTGTCTATGGGAACGTCCATAGGGGTCTATGGGTCTCTATGGGGTCTCTATAGGATGCCTATGGAGGTTCTATAGGGTGCCTATGGGGGGGGCTATAGGGTGCCTATGGAGGGGTCTAGGGGTCTATGGGTCTCTATGGGGTCTCTATAGGATGCCTATGGAGGTTCTATAGGGTGCCTATGGAGGGGTCTATAGGGAGTCTATGGGGGGGGCTATAGGGTGCCTATGGGGGTGTCTATGGGGTGTCTATGGGAACATCCATAGGGGTCTATGGGTCTCTATAGGATGCCTATGGAGGTTCCATAGGGTGCCTATGGGGGGGTCTATAGGGTGTCTATGGGGTGTCTATGGGAACTTCCATAGGGGTCTATGGATCTCTATGGGGTCTCTATAGGATGCCTATGGAGGTTCTATAGGGTGCCTATGGGGGGGCTCTATAGGGTGTCTATGGAGGAGTCCATGGGGTGTCTATGGGAATGTCCATGGAGGGGTCTATGGGTCGCTATGGGGTCTCTATAGGATGCCTATGGGGGTGTCTATGGGAACGTCCATAGGGGCCTATGGGTCTCTATGGGGTCTCTATAGGATGCCTATGGAGGTTCTATAGGGTGCCAATTGGGGGTCTATAGGGTGTCTATGGACGTGTCTATGGGTCTCTATGGGGTGTCTATAGGATGCCTATGGAGGTTCTATAGGGTGCCTATGGGGGAGTCTATAGGGTGTCTATGGAGGTGTCTATGGGGTGTCTATGGGAACGTTCATAGGGTTCTATGGGTCTCTATGGGGTCTCTATAGGATGCCTATGGAGGTTCTATAGCGTGCCTATGGGGGGGTCCATAGGGTCTCTATGGGATGTCCATGGAGGGGTCTATGGGTCTCTATGGGGTCTCTATAGGATGGCCATGGAGGGTCTATAGGGTGCCTATGGGGGGTCTATAGGGTGTCTATGGAGGTGTCTATGGGGTGTCTATGGGAATGTTCATAGGGGTCTATGGGTCTCTATGGGGTCTCTATAGGATGGCTATGGAGGGTCTATAGGGTGCCTATGGGGGGGTCTATAGGGTGTCTATGGGGATCTAGGGGATGTCTATGGGATGTCCATGGAGGGGTCTGTGGGTCTCTATGGGGTCTCTATAGGATGCCTATGGAGGGTCTATAGGTTGCCTATGGAATGTCTATGGGGTGTCCATGGGATGCTTATGGGATGTCCATGGGATGTCTATAGGGTATCTATGGGAGGTCTATGCAGGATGCATGGGGTCTCTATGAAGGGTCTATGGGATGTCTATAGGGTGTCTGTGGGATGTCTATGGGGTGTCTATGCAATGTTTATGGGGTGTCTATGGGTCCCTATGGGATGTCTATGGGTCCCTATGGGATATCTATGAGGTCCCTATGGGATGTCTATGAGGTCCCTATGGGTCCCTATAGGATGTCTATGGGTCCCTATGGGATGTCTATGGGTCCCTATGGGATGTCTTTGGGGTCCCTATGGGGTCCCTATGGGGTCCCTATGGGATGTCTATGGGTCCCTATGGGATGTCGATGGGTCCCTATGGGGTCCCTATGGGATATCTATGAGGTCCCTAGGAGTCCCTATGGGGTCCCTATGGGATCCCTATGGGATGTCTATGGGGTCCCTATGGGACCCTATGGGATGTCTATGGGGTCCCTATGGGATGTCTATGGGATGTCTATGGGGTCCCTATGGGATATCTATGAGGTCCCTAGGAGTCCCTATGGGGTCCCTATGGGACCCTATGGGATGTCTATGGGGTCCCTATGGTATGTCTATGGAATGTCTATGGGGTCCCTATGGGATGCCTATGGGGTCCCTAGGAGTCCCTATGGAGTCCCTATGGGATGTCTATGGGATGTCTATGGGGTCCCTATGGGATGTCTATGAGGTCCCTATGGGATGTCTATGGGGTCCCTATGGGATGTCTATGGGATGTCTATGGTTTGTCTAGGGGATGTCTAGGGGATGTCTATGAGGCCCCTATGGGGTCCCTATGGGATGTCTATGGGATGTCTATGGTTCCCTATGTGTCCCTATGTGTCCCTATGGTTCCCTATAGGTCCCTGTGTGTCCCCATGGTTCCCTATGGGTCCCTATGGGGTCCCTATGGGATATCTATGGGGTCCCTATGGGATATCTATGAGGTCCCTATGGGGTCCCTATGGGATGTCTATGGTTTCCCTATGGGATGTCTATGGGGTCCCTATGGGACCCTATGGGATATCTATGAGGTCCCTATGGGGTCCCTATGGGATATCTATGAGGTCCCTATGGGGTCCCTATGGGATGTCTATGGTTTCCCTTTGGGATGTCTATGGAGTCCCTATGGGATGTCAATGGGGTCCCTATGGTTCCCCATGGTTCCCTATGGTTCCCTATGGCTCCCTATGGTTCCCTATGTGTCCCTATGTGTCCCTATAGGTCCCTATGGTTCCCTATGGGTCCCTATGATTCCCTATGGGTCCCTATGATTCCCTATGGGTCCCTATGTGTCCCTATGGCTCCCTATGGTCCCCTATGGTTCCCTATGGCTCCCTATGGGGTCCCTATGGGATATCTATGAGGTCCCTATGGGATGTCTATGGGATATCTATGGGGTCCCTATGGGATATCTATGGGGTCCCTATGGGATGTCTATGGTCCCCTATGT